TGCTGTAGCCATGGAATGGCAGCAATACTTCCTCTACTCCAAGAAGAGAAGGGTGCTCGTTAATGATATAGACTCCAACACATTGCAACACTCCTGCCCACTCTGAAAGATCAGTCCACTAAGTACTAATTCAAGACTCTTATAGCAGGCCATTCTGTGCTTATAGGTAGAATCTAAAAAGTCAGTTATATTTCCCAAACTCCCTTGCAGCAAGATTCTGAGTTATATCTAATATTTATCAAGCAAATATATTTAAATGAGATATGAAGGTATACATGATATGTGAGTAACACACAACAGGGACAAAATTTGGAGATATTGGATACCCTCCCCCACGCATATATACACACAAAAGGGTGGGGGAGGTAGAAGGGTCTGATTTGGTGAGCAAGCTATGAAGCTTTTCAGGCTTTGAGTCATTGCCTTGTATGTGCTGAGTAGGGGGTAATTTCAGCAGAAGGGTTTTTGCAAGAATAATCCCACGTTGGGTAGTTAGATATTTTCCCCATATCTGTTGCCTTTGGCTGTATTGTTACTGACCTTGCACTATCCAGGCCAGATCCACTGGGCTCCTGGAGAGTCTTTGAACTATGTAATACCCTTGAATAAACTCCCTTCTGCTTAGCCAACTGGTGTGGATCTTGATGCACCTAAAATCACTGGCCAATACAGAGTTTTCCTGATTAAAGTAAACTTGATTAATTAAAACTCTTTTGTTTCCTAAGCAAATACAAGCTGTAGTCTCCAACACATTTATTCTCTCAGTCATCACTGCTAGGCTGGCAATAATTAAGTAAGTTCTGATTATATCTGCCAGTGCTCAGAGCAACACTGCCTGGCTGGAACCCTAGGAAAGCTATACCCATTTAATGTACCAAATATATCCCTCTCTTCTTATTACCCCTCTTTTCTTGTGGGTAGACAATGCTGAAGTTGTCTTTGGGTTGAGTGTTTCCCACATGCAAATTTAAGGAGATTTAAGAAGATACTCTATGCCCTTGAGATTGTGGGCTGAGCTTGAAAGGCAGATTTTGCACAATATTGACAAAGCAGCAGTGAGTACCCATTCTACATTTTAGAGGCTGTGTTGCCTGAATGTGCTGGAATGAATTTCAATGCAATTTTTGCTCCAGTGGAATGTTAGCAGTTTTCCAATTGTTTAGATGGGAATTCTAGACATTATAGGTCCCTTTACTTTCCAATCATCTATTCTATTTTTTTTTACCTTACTAGCAACAGTCAAGTCTCAAAGATATTTTCCAGTTTTCTTTCAACTTATTAGTGAGTATTGAAAGTTCTACCAACAACCATGCTGTATTCTGATATCTAATTACACAGTCTTCATATTAACCCAAGAGAATTTTCTGAACTAAACTGCAAGAAAGGAAGAAGAAAGAGAGAGAGAGAGAGAGAGAGAGAGAGAGAGAGAGAAATAAAAAAGGAAAGAAAGAAAGGAAGGAAGGAAGGAAGGAAGGAAGGAAGGAAGGAAGGAAGGAAGGAAGGAAGGAAGGAAGGAGAGCACTAAACAAGCAAATAAAAACAATGTAAAACTAAGCCTGGCTGTGTGACTGATGACAAAGCTAATGACTGAGAGAATGGAGAATCAAGCCATAACCACAGAGACTCGAGTATTTGAAATAAGTAAATGTGTTTTAATGATTATTGGTTTTCCTCAAGACCACAGTATCACATGTTATTTACTTTGGTAAGTCTGAAAGTTATTAGAGAGTCCCTTTCAGGTAGGTCTCATGTATGAAAGAAGAAAATAATAAAATGTACCAAGAAGACAAACAAGAGCAAAACTTAGAACTCTGGCTGATAGCCACCAGACAAGATGGCTGTGGCTGAGCCATCAGATTTTTGCTGTATTCATTTGTTACATGAAGGCTAGATCAGATAATAGACAACTTCCCAGAAGCTCTGCCACTTAATGTGTCTAGACAGAAAAACAAAATACCTCACATGATAAAAGTTTCATGAGTTGACAAGTGCAACTGAAAAGGCAAGGCATCGCTGTGTCCATCTGATTTCCTGCTCTGTGGTTTACAAGCTAGAGAGCCTCTGGCACTATCACTGAACCTCTCGGAGCCTGTTCTTCCAGAACTCTTAGAAACAATGTCTGTGTGTGGAGGGGCAGGTACTGTCTCCCATTCAGCCCACTGGCACGGGGCTTTACAAAGATCGCTTTCTCTTAAATCAAAGGAAAATAAAACATCAGAGCTTAGTTCATATTAATGTGATTTCAGTAATGTATCAACAGGTAGAAAAGGGGGTATGAATGCAGAGCTTGCCAAACCCTGACTCTGTCATTCCTAAGAGATTCGGCATTGGCCACGTGCATTAGGTGGGTTTTTGTCTCCTCTCTAATAATGCTGCATGGGACCTTATGATGTAGTGTCTGTACAGTACATAGAGCAATGTGTGGAGGGAAAACAATCATGATAATCACCATGGAGGTTCTGACTTAGTATCACCTGCTTTTCCACTGATCTGAAGAAAATGAGCTACGATGCACAGAAGGAAGCTGCAGTCTCTATGCACCATTATTTGAGAAACAGTATGGAATCCCAAGTGTCACTAGTTGCATTTTATTTAAAGAAAGAAAGACACATCACAGAATGTGTTTGTGTATCCCATTTAATAAAAAAAAACAAAAAAACAAAAAAAACTCCAGTCTGACACATCTTCCTGACTCATCTTCTACAGTAACATTGATTCTTTGTGCAGAAAAATGTGTAGTGCCAAAAATGATATTTATAAAATCTTTTACTGTTTTAGATGGGAGAGACTGGTTACTTTTAACTAAGGCCTATTAGGTGTAAGGGGAAGATTAGATTTGCATAACTTATGATCTACAAAATGCCTAAAAAGTATTCTGAAGCATGAGGCTAGTCCATTTTAAATAAATTACATACCCGCATTATTTAATATGAATAAACATGATAGAATGTCTATCCACTTGAACTATTTTTAACCACCATATTGAAAACTGAATGTGAAAAACCCATCTAGTCATCAACTATCACTAAGTAACAAAAGGAAACTAGCTGAAATATTCAACAGTCCAACTAAAAGGAAGGCTTCTTGTATTGTGTTTACTGAATACCCTTAAGGATCTTTTTTAGTTGTGGACTACTAAGTTTTTTGACAGTTTTTATATTCACCAACTCCACCATCACCCTAGACTCCTTATTTTTACCCCCTTTTTATCAAACTTCCTCTCCCCTCTTCTTCCACCTCCTCAGGGATGATGTGTGTATGCACATCTTTCCTGGTCACTGGATCTCATACTGAAACAGGACTACCTATCAGCTTGGGAAGTATAGCACAATCCTCTAAGGATCATTCATCCTGTTAGAACCACCAGTGGTGATCTGGTGAGTCTGATAAAGTTGGGGCAGTGGGAATTTTCTAGGTTCCTGTGGAAAACTCTTGCATACAGCTCAGGCAGAGAATCTCAATGCTGGAGCACAGAGGACACCTTGAGTTCTCTGCACTTTGGTTCAATTGCTGCTTTGAAATTAGTCTGTCTGAACACTGAATCTCTGAACTTCATTTCTGAAAACACCTCCTGCTTTTTAGCTGAACTTCATTTCTGAAAACACCTCTTGTCTAGCTAAGCAACACGTTGAAAGTTGGTACAAACTGCCCTGGAGGCCAGCCAAAATCTCAGACCCAACATCTGAGGTCCCACACTAACCAGCTGCTCTGAAGATGGAGGTAGCCCTTTCCATTGCCAACTACATCAGAAGATGGAAAACTTGGCATGTGGAAAGAACCCTCTCTGTCGTCAGTATAAAACACCAGCAGTCCTCAGTGTCTGGGGGATTTCTTTCTCTTATTTTGGCTAATCATCAGTATTTTTCTGAATTTCTCCTTACAATAAATCTGACAGCATGAATTTTCAATTTTATTTTGAGAGTCACATATAAGGAGAGGCCAAGGGGGTATTTTACTTTGGATTTCATTGAAGCTTATGGGCGTGAATCGTCTGTGAGAGCCACATGAAGCCCCACAGCACAGGCAGCTTAGAGAATAGACATGCACTCTCTCACCATTCTGGGGACTGTAAGTCTGAGATCAAAGTGTTGGACTGACCTGATTTCCAGTGAGACTTCTCTCTGTGGCTGGCACTTCTCCCCCTGTGTCCTCACATGGCTCTCCCTCTGTGTGTGTCTGTTTTCTAATCTCCTCTTATAAGAGCATCAACCATATCAAATTGGGTCCCATTCCTATGACCTCATTTGAACTTAGTTAGCTCTTGAAAGTCCATGCTTCTAGATATATTCACATTCTGAGATACTGGGGGTGGGTAAGACTTGAAATTATAGATTTGGAGTAGACAGAATTCAATCTATCTACCCATGAAATGAAAGGATTTACCACCTCTTTGGCCTCCTCCAGCTGGCATCCCACCTGCATGAAACCATGGCTACCTGCTTTACCATCTTCAGCATGAATGCCGAGCCTGGCATTCTGGGAACAAGTACTCTGCATAGTTTTAAAATTCCGTGATGAATTGACTTCGAAAACTGAAACACTTCAAGCAAGTAAAGGCTCTAAAATAAGTGCAAAACATATAAAGCCTATCATCTCATGCAGTAGAAGAAAGGAATAAATAGCATATCTTTCCTGATGCTGTGAAAATTATATTGTAGATAATCTGAGAGAGGTTTGATTTAAATTTTCTGCATTATGAGTTCTATAAGTTTATTTATCTTGTCCAATTTGAATTTTGAGACAGATGTTATCCATGCAACAGCCATCTCAACTAGCATGTTTTGCTGAGGCTGAATTCCTGTTTAGTTCCTAACCACCAAGGTACAGAGAACTTCAACTTGAAGTCAAAGACCGCCTACAGAAAGTACACTGTGGCACTTGCAAGTGGGCATTTTTTAGTCACTGTCCTACAGTAACTCATTTAACATTCTCTCCTGGAATAATTGGGTTTCGCCTGAGTCTCCCAGTCTATTAAAGCTGCCCGAGTGACAGCTTCTTACCTTGAGGCTTGGGCTTGGTGAGTTTGCCACAGGGCTTGGAAATGGTGACAGTCTTCTGGCAGTCAGCATTGTGAAGAGCTCGCTTCAGACTTCCAGTCCTGGTCTTCAAGGCAGTATTCAGGTCACATTCTCCCCAAGCCTGGAACTGGTATTTGCATTCAGCTAAAAAGCATAATAGGATGAAATAAATTTTTTTAGAGAGCTTATTATGGTGATAATAAGGGCACAATTTTGATGTTAACTTTTTGTATTTAAGCCATTGTACATTCTTATGCAGTTATAAGAAATAACAAAGGGACATTCCATAACTCTTCACCCAATTTCTCCCAGGTTTGGCATCTTGAATGATGGTGGGCCTGTGTAAAAATTGATGCATTCCAAGAGTGTAGTCATATTTCATCAGTCTTATGTGCATGAACACGTATAATTCCATCAAGGTAAATGCATGTGATCAGCACCGGCAATGTACATACAATCCCAGTGCAAGGGATCCACTGTCACCTTCTGTGGAGTCACAGCCTTTTAATTTCCTTACAACCACAAATCTCTTCTCCAGCTCATTTCATACTATAAATGAGATTTTAAACTATGTAAACTTTTGTGAATGGCTACTCTGGTGCCCACAGAATTTAGAAGATGGTGTATTATCCTCTTGAACTAGAATAACTAATGGTTGTGAGTTACTATATGGGGGTGGTGGGAACCGAACCCAAGTCCACTGCAAACACATGTGCTCCTAACAACTGAGCCATCTCTCTGGCTCTGGGACTGGCTATTTCTTTACTTAGCATAAATTTCTGGCAATCAGCTCAACTTGTGCCTATCAATAGTGTATGCTTTTATACAACTAAGTAACCTTCCATGATATAGATATATCAAAGTTTATTTACCCATTCAGCAGCTTAAAGATGCCTGGATTGCTTCTATATTTTGGCTAAAATATATACATATGTAAATACTATATATTCATATAAGGGGTTTTGTGAATAAAATTCTATTTTCTCTGAGGAAAAATAAAGTCCTAGAAACTGCTGAGTTACATGGTAAGCTCAACTCATGTTTAATTTCATACAAACATAAAATAAGCAACCCCTCCAAAAAGTGATATTCTTTTTTAGTATGGCTGTGCCATTTTATATTTCCATTGACAGTAAATACATGACATAGCATCTCTGCATCTTCACTAGCATTCAATATCATAATGTTTTTATTCCAGTCATTCTGATGGGCACATAGTAATATGTCACCAGGGTTTCAATCTCTCTCCCCTTAATGGGACAGAGAAATCGAATATCTTTCCAGGTGTTTATTCATTACTATATATTCTCCTCAGAAAACAAGTCTGTTGATATTTACTAACTCTCTTCCTGGATAGTTAGGGTTGTTTGTTTGTTTGTTTTAATTCTGTATTGTTTTTTTGAGATTTATATAGATGTTCAAGACATGAGTCCTTTAAGATACATCCTACAAACTTTTTACAAGTGAGTCTTAACAGTGCTCCATACTATTTAAAGTCTAATTTATATGAACTCTATTGCTATTATGGCAGTTACTGCCATTCATAAAAATGTACTCCAAAGTTACAGAGGAAGTCAAGACTACACGTGCACATATTCATTCTCTATCTTTACTCATATTTAGGCCATGGTGTGTTTCTGTATGGCACAAGTAGGACACTGGTCATTATGCCCCATGATGGTCAGGAAAAACACAAAGTGTGTGATGTAGAAGAAAAAGGCACTTGGGATTTTTAAATTGGGATAGGAGCACTCTGGAGATGCTGTGGATAAAGGGCTTGCCTCAAATACATATGAAGATCAGAGTCTTGGTGACCAGAACCCACATAAAAAGCTGGGCAGATGTGGTAACCCACCTGTAATTCTAGTGTTCTGGAATCAGAGAGAGGGATCCCTGTAGCAAGCTGGCTACCTTGACTAGTAGAATCACTGGGTTCCAGATTCAACAAGAGACCCAGCCTCAGAAAATGAAGAGGAGAGCAATGGAGAGAGATATCAACACCAACCTTTGGTATCCACACACATGTAACCTGAACATATATGCACTCACAATCACACAAATGCACATGAACAACATTACACAACAAAAAACGCACACATGCATGTAGATGAATGTATATGGTTAAAGATGGAAATGTTGATTAATGAGTGAAAGATGAAATGCTGAATATTGAATTAAAGTTGGAAGTGTTGAGAAAACTTGTCTCAAGTAGATCTATCAGAACAGTATGGAACTGACTAGAGTTAGTCAGACAAAGGTCTACAAACATGGGCTATGATCATGCCTGGTAGAGTCAGTGAGCGAATCTATAAACATATGCGGAGGATGGGAAGGAGTCAAAAGAAAGAGTAATAACAAGGGACATGAAGAAGGAGAATAAGTACGAAAGGGGAAACTGGAAAGTGAAGTGGAGGAGAAGATGGAACAGAACAATTATTGGGAGGGCACCAGTGCATATTCTATGCCTGTATAAGGATTGATGCTTAACTACAAACAGTTTTGACTACCAAATGACATTTGGCCAGTTTTCCTGGCTGGTAGAGCAGGTTGTATTATGGTTTTAAAAAATTAGATAATAAGGATGTTGCTAAATATCTTATAATGTACAAGAAAGAAAAAAAAAGACAATAAAAATCCAGCCCCTGATATCACTAGTGCTGAATCTGAGAGGCAAGCTCTCTGGTCACCTTGTGTCTAAGAAAATACACTTATTTAATTGAATATAAACATGAGTTGGCCTTGAAAATGAATGATAGAAATATTCCAAAAGTATTTCATATAGTGGATGAAAGGTATAGGACACAGGATGAGACTGACCTCCAAATTGCTTCTTCCAGTTGCAAGGGATCTTACATCTCTGGGTCTTCATGGTTTGCTTGCACTCAGCGCCAGTGCGTGTGCCCTCCCGGGTGCCCAGTCCACAGTCACCACTGGTGGGCACGCACACACTCCACTGCCATTCTCCACAGTCAGATTTTTTCACCTTTTTTTCTGCAAGGAAGGAAGCAAAAGCAATCACCATCCAGGACTGTCCTGAACTTCTAGATATGGCTAAGTTCACTCCTTAGCATCTCAGTTGTGGAGTCTATGACTTTCACCTCTATCTGCATTTTCCAGGAAGACAATTGGAATATGCCAGATGTCTTCTCAATGTTCAAGTCAATGCATGGTTAAGAGGAGAGAGAAAGAAAACATGGGGGTGGGGAACAGAACGAATACTACTAAATCATGTGTGTGTTAGAGACTGTTTTAAGTGAATCACTAACGTTTCCTTTTAGAAACAAGTATTTCTGAGTGAAGGCATTGCCTCTCTGCCTGCTTCCTGACCACCATGATGTGAGCTGTTCTGCCATACAAGCTGTGATGGACTTATCCTTCTAGAACGCTAAGTGAAATAAAGCTGTCTTCTTCTTAAGTTCACTCCTCAGGTGTTTGAATGCAGCAACAAACAGCTAAATAACACACATGTACCAGATGGAATCTCGAGATTTGTATATTAAATTGTATAAAAAGAAGGAAATATTTTTGTAAAAATAAACAAGTCTACGTAGCTTATAAAAAGCTTGAAAAAATGAGGAGGAAATGTCTATTAGAAGTAATAGTGGCCAGATTAACAATTTCATTGAAAATTGATGGTCTGTTTTTTTTTTTCTGTAGATAAAAGCCATAACAGAAATGTGGTATAGGTCACGGACTAAAAGAGACCTCCAAAACCACAGCCCACTCATGACTATTCAAGGGCATATTCATTCAGGAGTAAAATGGGGCAACATGAGACAAGTCTCACTTAGGGTTTCCCTAAGTCATTAAAAGGAAGTTAGAAATGGTGGGAGGGACTAGAAGTAGGTAGCTAGGCTGCTTGGGTACCATCCAAAGAAGCATCTCTCTGTGACTCAACTGCTTACCTGGCTTCTCTTTCTTCCCAGCCTCAGCAATGTCCACGGCTGCCAAGATGAAAATGAATGCCAAGAAGGCAGCTGCAAATTTTCGACGTTGCTGCTGGTACTGTTGGGATGACATGTCTGGGAGGGAAGAGAGAGAGAAGAAGGTGATTTCAACCTGAGTTGAAACAAAGATTCAACCCTCTGATAAGCACCCTGTAAGAAGCTTCTGGAACACTGGGTTTTATGAAAATTGTATCGATTATTGCAAGTAGAATTTTATCATTTCTGCCCAGCAGCTGCAAAAAGCAATAAGTTACATGGTCATTGACAATATTCAACCATTCTTCATATCGGACTCCACAGCCATTTGTCATATATGTATGCCTCTGGGGTTGTGAAGGCAAGGGAATCTCAAGCAAATTCCCACAATCAATCTTGTTGCTCGCATCACTTGGTAATGGCAACTACACTCATCTTTAGGGTGCCTGGAAGTTCCTGGAAACATTCACGGCGTTGCAGCCACAGGACTCTCTGGTATGGCCATGGCAAGTGATGATGTACAGTAACATGTACTGACTGTGTTTTATGTTTAGGTACATTTGCCGGTGAGCAGTGTCTCTGATTCTTATCTATCCATGTTCACTCAAACATAGTATCATCCCATTATTTATTAGTGTGAAACACAGAAATAGAGCTGGCATGCTATGATACTAACAATTTATAAACCGATTTTACTCTAGAACCATTAAATCTTCAGATCTGGGGAATGGTGATTATACTTGCTCAGAAATCAAAATGCTTCTCATCAGACATAAATAAAAATCCCTAGATAACACTAGAAAGATCCCTGCTTTATTTAAAGATACTTGTGATAACTCTCTGCCAAGATGTTTGCCTTGCCTAAACACCCCCAAGGAAGCCAGTGACTACAAACTTACTTGATAGTCATTTACCACCATTGGCTGTGTTAATGGTGTTGTGTAGATCACATGAAAGTGTACAAGTAATCTTTGTTATTATTAGTGTGGCTGTTTTCTTTTTTCCAAAACTGGCAATAGACTAGTTTTTAATGATTTTACAATCACCTTAGTGAATAATAAGACTATTCTTGTGTGTGCACACTCATGTGTGTATGTGTATAATGTGTGTGTGTGTGTTTGCAATGTGTGTGTGTGCATGCACATGTGTGTGTTGGTGATCACTCTATTCTGTAGCTTGGTTTTCTAATCCATAAATATCTAAAAAACGATACCATGGTTACTAAGCTTGTAGCAATTCCCATGACATTAGAATTGTCACTTATTAGAGTAGTATTTTGTTTTGCTATCAATGACTAGATTCGATAGTATGAATAAGCATATTTTGACTATAAACTAAAATTCACTTTTTGATCACTTAGCCCTTTAAAACATGAACCCTGCTTTGCTACTCACTCACCATTTCCATCCCCATCTACAATCCAGGATTGGCAGCTTTGCCTTTCCAAATGCTGCATTCTTATGATGCTCTCACTAAAATGTCCCTAGAAAATAAGAGGTGAATTCTAATCTCATGAGGAGATGTAGAAAGCCAACTAGACTCACTGACTTGCAAGCTTGTCAGAGTTCTCAGAGATGAGGTCTCTGTGCACCTATATGATGTACTTTTTCCTAGGACATTCAAGCACCATTTAAAATGGTTAGGCATAAAGTGAGCCAGAGTCCTTGCTTTCCCCAAAGGCTGCCTAAGCACCTTCTTTCAGTGCCTAAGAACTATGGTGAAACTTTTGAGAATTCATAAAAGGCAAATTAACTCTTTCATCCAGGACTTTTCAACATAGATTTCAACTTATATTTTGCTTTCATATGTAAAAATTACCTGTAAATTACTTTAACTATATTGTTATGATATAGATAATTGTGAGAATCTGAACATTCCCACTGAGAAAGCACAACCCTGAAGAAAACTTCCTGACCAAGCAATGGGGTGATGATCCCCTGGTCTTAATAAATGTAGTCAATGAAGAGGTCAGAAGTCATTGTGATTAAACCAATATCTTAATATCTCAGTTTTTATAGGAGTATAAAAAGAATAAAGGTATAAAAGAAGAGACAAAGAAACGGAATGAATAAAATTACCCAAGTGCACCAAACAGTATTTAATCCTATTTGAGTGCAAAAAAAAAAAAAAAACCACTCAGTTAACTTCTTGGCAATAAATATGTGGTAATTAGTATATGTGCAGATAGCAGCTTGCATGTTGTATCTGAATAGTTGACTATTTATTCTCAGCATCAAATAAAAGCAAAACCTTTTCCTGCACATAGCTTCACTTTGCTTGTTCTCCAACATGCTGGGTACCAGATGAACATAGAAATAAGAACAAGCCCCCCTCAGACACACACAGCAATTAGGGAAGCAGCTAATTATTTTTCACACTGAGAAAAAGAAACAATGAAAGGATAAAACTTACTAAATTGGCTGAGTTCTTTTGAGAAACTTCTTTATGTCTTCCCTTCTGCCATCGTTATTATATTTGACCTGACAGCTGTAATTCACTGGGTTTAACAAATTGGAGACTACCATAAATGGATGCTGGGACATAGTATATACTGTTGAGTTATCTCAACGAAGCCTGAAACTCGATGACAAATAAAGGAGCTCACTGGAGAAAAGCATCCACTTGTTACACTTCAGCCTCCTCTGAGATGGGACTGATTAGAATACAGGGAACTCCTCCTCTCTACAGCATTGTAATGGGGTCTAAGATTTTGAAAATTGCAACACCTGATGTAAATATAGACAAGGATACTGGACACTGTCCCTACTTGCCCTGTTTAGAAAGACTAATGCACTATCTGGAGGCAGAACTTATTATTCAAACTTTAATTCCACAACTGATTTTACTTTTGTCTTTGAACAAACTCAGAATGTCACAACTAATCGAATCGGTTTGGATATCAAAAGAGTGGGAGTAAGTTGTAGGGCCGATAATAAATTAACTGCTGGAGACGCTTCTCATAAAAGCTACCGGATACAGACAGAGAGATAATATGGAATATTAGGAATTACATTATCAGCTTGGCTCACCTCTACAGCTCTGTGGTTTGCATATAAAGTGTCCTTTGCAAATTAGAAGCTTGGTCCCCAAATCTAGCAATTAGGGCTTTGAGGAAATGAGTGGACTGTTAGAAGGAGTCTGTCTCTATCCATGATTCAATCCATTGATGTGTTAAAAAAAAATATGAGTAGAGCACTAAGCGACAGTAGAACTGTAGAAGGTGGAGCGTGTTGAGATGGTCGGTCATCGGGACATGTCTTTGAAGGCCGTATCTCACCCCACCCCTTTTCTGTTACTTCTCTCTGTTTCCCCGTCTCCGTGAAATGAACAGACAGACATGCTTCTTCAATATTCTGTATCACCTTGGCCCCCCAAAATAAAGTCAGCCAACACACATTAAAATATCCAAAGCTGTAGCCGGGCGTTGGTGGCGCACGCCTTTAATCCCAGCACTCGGGAGGCAGAGGCAGGCGGATCTCTGTGAGTTCGAGGCCAGCCTGGTCTCCAAAGCGAGTTCCAAGGAAAGGCGCAAAGCTACACAGAGAGACCCTGTCTCGAAAAACCAAAAAAAAAAAAAAAATATCCAAAGCTGTGAGTAACAGAAATACTTCCTTCTTTAAACTATTTTGACTGTTTTTCACAGTGTTCAAAACTCTGACTAATACAAAAATGCTCTTTTTTTACTGAAAAAAATATAACAGACATCAAACTTGGCATTTTTGTATTATATAAAAGCAAAAATGTCACGAGACGGAGAAATGATTTAATTAAAATCAGCTAAAGTCTCCTTCAGCCTTCACAGGCCACAAATTCATTCTGCCTTTATTTTTTGGAAGCATAATACAAATTCAAGAAACAACTCATGATGTGTCCTTTGAATCCTGAGCCCAGAGTTGAAAATTAGTGACGATGTCAGTACAATTCCACGGGTGTGAAGTAAGGAAAACCCCCTCAGTTTACAATTATATTCTATGCCCTTCCACATGGAAAAACATTCCTTTTCCATCTTTTTATTTGGCTAAGACAAAGAGAGCCCCAGTGCTTAGAAGTTGCTCCTAAAACTTTGATCTTGAAAAAGTCACAGAAATATAACTTAAAACAGAAGAGTGAACTTCTAAGCTAAAATAATATCTTAGCCATCTGGACCACAGGATGTACAACACATTGACTCTGGGCTGGAAACAACCATTGGTCTCTCCAGAAGTGTATTGTAAGTAAAAACAATCAGCAAGCAACTGGAGATGCATCTGTATCCATTCACAACTAGAATATACTAGATATTTTGTGCTCTACTTGCTTTAACTTTTCTGAAGTAGTATTTTTTTAACCTTGTGAATTGTAAAAATGAAACGTAAGACATTGAAAATCATGCAAAGACACAGACTGAGTGAATTTTTATAACAGAGCACTTTTCAGGCTATCAAGAGACTTAGCACATTCCTTGTCCCAACTACAGCTCATCCCTCAACAAGTAATTCACAAAGAAAATCTTTCCTTGTATTGTTTGAGGGCTTTATTTAAATGTTTTAGATTTACCTAATTAAAAAATCTGAATGCCTTTTAACTTGCTTTTAACATACATGATAGCCATCCTCTGACTTCCAGTTCTTGCTTTTTACATTCTGACAAAATATAAACCATTTAGTCAATATATCTCACATTCTGGATTTTGGTAATTATACATTTAGTTAAATTCAGTATTCCTGTGTTCAGCTTAAAATTAGCAACGGATAAAGAAACCTTCCCAGAATGACTTCTAGAATTCAATAATTATCCATTTATGTCTCCTGTTTGACCTTGTTCTGACTCTACTGAAATCTCTTAATGAGTTTCCCTAAGTTTAACATCATCTACTTGTTAGTTCACTAAGACAACTAATCAAACATAAAAGACTTAACAGTTCAAAATTAAAACAAACCAAATATATTATACATTTAAGTAATTTTTACCTTTCTAAAGAAAAAAAGAATGAGGACAACCATGTATTTATTTAGACAAAATACCCCAGGGATTTCTCTCATGTGTTCTGGCTTGGTAATATACTAAGAAATTCCATTTTGACTAAAAATGTGTAGCCTTTCAGCTCTGGCCCCTATCAA